AAAAAAAAAAAAAAAAGACGAGGGCCGACACCCTGCTGGAAGGTGAGGCAACACAGCTTCGCTCAAAAACATAAAAACAGACTTAAAAACGAAGAAGTGTCCAGATTGCTGGCTGGTTTAGCAGAATGCCGCCCGGTGCTCATCTCCTGCCTCCGATTCGGATCCGTGTCTCTTCACTGCGCCTGCAATACAAGGCTGTTAGTCGGTAAACAAGCGACACATTCGCAACGCAGCTTCTGAACTGAGCCTTTCACACAACGCCCCCTACAGGCCAATAAAAAAAAAAGGAATCTGATACCTGGTACAAATTAATTTGCATCCAGTTGCGAGGTGCTTAAAGTGCACAGATATAAGAACAAGACAAAGTGCAAACACTATTGCGAAAGGATAAATGACACCAGTCAAAAGTCTGGACACACTGACGCACAGAAAGGTCTATTCTCTTTTTTTTCCCCCCTTGTCGTGTCCGGCAGATTAGCAAGCAGGATGTTAGTCTGGGTGCCTTACTGTGCCAACACTTTTATTTTAACAAGTGGAGCTTCGGATTTAAGCTCCTCTTGTTACTTGAGGTATACTCTTTATTAATCATTTTTATGTCAATGCGCCACAAAGCCGGAGCTGACACACACACACACACAAAGAGGGATAAAATAGTGGAAGAGAGCCCTAGGCTCTCGTGTGTGTGTGTGTGTGCGCGCATGTCTGTGTGTGTGTGTGTGCATTCTAAGTGTATGTGTGTTGATATGAAATGATATGATGTGTGTATGTGTGCATATGTACGTGTATGTGTGTGTGTGTACGCATACGTGTATGTGTGTATGTTTGTGTGCTGTGAGTGTATGTATGAGTGTGCAGGTTAACATGGAATGATTCCCAGTGAGTGTGCGAGGCCACAACAACACCGCCCCGGGGCCCCCAGACGGCCGGGAGAGTCCCGACGGGTCACGGACCCAGCCGCCCCACAGCGGCCAGGTACCCGGGCCCCCGCCACCGGACGGCTGCGCGCCCACCCAAGGAAGGCAGGGGGGGAGGCACCGGGCGTCCCCCACCGGCGAGCACGAGGCAGGAACCCCACGGCCACAGGCGGCAGCGCGCCGCCCCCCCCCGGAAGGCTGGCCACGCAGGCACGGATAGAGCCCGGACCCCGGACCACCCACACACCCCACGGGGGCCCCGCCAGCCCCAGGGAGACCCGCCCCCCCCCAAGACCCCCACCCGGGGGACCAGGGGGACACCCCGAGAGCCACCAAGCACCCCCGCCCCTGACCCCCCCTCCCCCAAGCCCAGATCCCAACCCTCCCTCCCCAGCCCCCGCACCCTCCCTCCCCCAAGTCCCCTCACTGCCACCCCCACACCGCCCCATCATCCACGTGCCCCCCGTACCAGGACAAACATGCAGACACACAGATCCATGCATGCACTCATACACACACTAGAAAGGTCTATTCTCTAACATTTTAAATCTTTTGAAAGGGAAATACCACACTGACACGTCACGGCTGGACACAACTCTGTGACCAGGAACATTTTCTATCTTAACCCTAAAGCAAGGACGTGGTTAGCGGTTGAGGCTGACCAGTGACCACCGTGACCGTCACTGAGAGGTCCTGCAGAAACCACAAGCCTCGCGCTTACACACAGCATGGATCCTGCGAGCTGTCCGGCCGGGCCTCACTCTACCTGCTGTCCGGGCTGCGGGGCGGCCGCCTGCCCTGGGGTGGCGGCCCCCGGCTGTCCGTAGTAAGCGGCCTGCTGTCTGTAGTACTCCGCCCAGGCAGCGCTGTAGTCAGGCTGGCCGCCTCCGCTGGCCGGGGCTGCTGCCGTGCCGCCGGCTTGGGCTTGGCGGAAGCAGAGAGACTGTCAGACCAGGTGCAGAGGGGTGGAGGCGCAGGGAGGCAAGCGCGAGGCACTCACCCATCTTCTTGTAGTACTCCTCCCAGGCCTTGGTGTAGTCTGGCTGCCCAGCAGGGGTCTGAGCGGCCTGGGGCTGCTCGCCGGGCACCGGTGCCCCCGCGGGCGCGGAGGGGGGCTGGTTGGGCACAGGCCCACCGGGTTGCTGGTAGTACTGGGCGTAGTAGGCGGCCCAGGCCGCGTTGGGGTCTGCTGCAGCTGCCTTGCCTGGAAGGGTGGGGGGGGGGGGGCAGAGGCTATGAGACCCACAAGAGAACGCCAATGGAAGCAGCGACACAGCGGCCAGAAAGAGCGCCACCTACTGGGGTCGTGAGGTCCGGGGGGCTGCCACTGCTGGTAGGTGTTTCCCCAGCCCTGAGGGGGGTACTGATGTGGAGCTGGGGGCCCCCCACTGCAAGGAAAAGGGCCCCATGAGCCTCTGTCAACGTAGACATCGATATGTTCATTTCTGTACATACATAAGCATCATCACAAGCAGATGAGGAGATCTGTGCACCTTCATATCTGCCAAGACCTGAGCTCAGACCCCCATCACAACAAGAAGGCGAAGGCGAGCACCCATAAAGCCTGAACCCTCTAGGAAGGTGTGAACTCAGATCAGAGCGAGATGAAGGGAGGCACCGATGAAACAGGCCGGTGGACTTACTGGGGACCAGGGGCGCCTGGTGGGCCGGGGTTGTACGGATTGGGGTTATAAGGCCCCATGTGCCCAGCTGGGCCGGGACCTCCTGGACCCAGACCCAAAGGACAAAGCGGACCCTAAACCAGGAACCAGAAAAGTCACAGTCAGCTCAACACACAGACATGGTATAACAGTCCTAACATTTACACAGGACATTATACTGAAGGAGACGGGGTTCCACCAAGCAGGGCAAAGGCCGCGGCCATCAGCAGTACCTCTATCTTATCCTCAATCAGCTGCTTGGCGTGGTCGATCTGCTGGGGGGAGCCACGAATGATGAACAGCTTGTAGTTGGGGTCCCCGTTGGGGGGCAGCTGGCGAGAGATCTCCACGAAGGCCCCCGTCTGCTGGTTGATGGCCTTGACGTTCTCGCCCCCGCGGCCGATGACCAGGCCACACTTGTGGCTAGGGATGGAGAAGGTGACCTCGCCGGTGGGGGGGCCCCAGCCACCCTGGCCTCGGCCCCGTCCCCTGTTCCCTGGTGGCATGCCCGGGGGTCCTGGGGGCCCCTAAGAGACAGCAGCAAAGACAAACCTCACCTACATAAGCCTAATATTTCATTCTATAAAAAGCATTACTATTTACAGATGGTTAAAAGATATCCCTAGTAGTAAGAGTCGCAATATAACACCATATAAACCAACGGCCTTTTCAACAAAGGATCTGGAATGGTATCCCACAGTTCCCAACCTACTGGTTTAAAAAGGTCTGGCCTGTGATCATAGTCATACAGCCAATCAGTGATCCTGGAGTCAGCATGAGCCTTCACACAAGCCGGTGGGACTACAGGCACGAGGCCCGCCCTCCAGGCACGAGGCCCGCCCTCCAGGCACGAGGCCCGCCCTCCAGGCACGAGGCCCGCCCTCCAGGCACAAGGCCCGCCCTCCAGGCACGAGGCCCGCCCTCCAGGCACAGCTTACCCCCTGGCCTTCTTCACGTGCACGGATACTCTGCAGCAGGTCTGCGATGATGCGGGCAGCGTGCTCGCAGCGATCCGGGGGACCCATTATGTGTGCCACCTTGTCTGGCCCTACGCCGTCATCTGCAGGACGGTGACACACGATCAGCGGCAGCAGCAGCGGGGATTAAAGCTGGACGCGAAGGCATTCCGCAGGGCAGGCCAGGGCCTTCAGCAGACCGACGGCCATTCACCTCACCCGGCTTGAACTGTATCCTGACTCCGGCATCGTTCTGGATTTTCTTGATCATCTCGCCGTTGCGCCCGATGACGACACCAACAGAGTGGCGGGGGACGGGCACCTGCATGACCAGAGAGCAGACGCCGGCTCACTGACACCCCCGGGGGCTTGGTCTTTTGATAAAGACATGAGCGCATCGGGTTACGCAGTGATGCACCCCGAGTCTCTTGGCAACCACGCCTCCCGCTACGGGAGAGGCACCATGACCCTGAGGGACCCCAGAGAAGGAAACTCACATCCATGCCGCCGCCGCCACCGCCGCCCCCCCCCATGCGGGAGCCGTACTCGCTCCTGTCTCCGAATCCTGGGTGGTCCCTCTCCCGCAGGATCTCCTGCACCAGCTCCCGCGCTTGCTGTGGAAGGGAGAACTAACACTAAAACCTTCGCCAGATAGATATCACTTCAGCAGCTGTTCCCACAGACAGCAGAGGGGTCAGGGTTTGTGTTAGGAGCCGTCCTCCACGCTGCCACATCACTGCCACATCACTGCCACATCACTGAGCACACAGACTGGGCCGCTGTCAGGGTTAGAAGCACCTGCACTTTGTACGGCTCCCCGATGATGCGCAGGGGTTTGTCCATATTTGGGTTCTGGGAACCATCCTGGATCAGGATCATCTTCACTCCCGCGCGCTCCTGAAAACACAAATGAAGCACGGCTCCATCATATCTCTCTTTCACGGGCTGTTCAGCATTCTTAGTACAAGTTGTTGTTTGTTACCAGCACCAGTCAGCATATATAGGGAGCTTTTCCACTGCACCAAGTACAGTACTTTTGCTTTTCCATTGACTTCTGGTCGAGTACCAGTACCCAAAGTTACAGTGCCGAAAGTGCCAAACCAGCTGGGGTACTTCTTTGGTACTTCAGTACCAAACACTGAAACGCTGCCCTGAAAACAGTTCAGAAAACAATGATGTAAAGAAAGAAAAAAATCAGTTGCGATCTGGTTGGAAGAACAGATACAATGAAAACATCAGGATAGCATGACAAGAAATTAAAGTGTTTAGTTTAATATACTAAGACAGCATGCATATAGCATTATAAGTTTGTTGTAAATAGAGTGATCTTGTACAAAGTATTGGTGTATTTATAAAGCAAAAAGGAGTTAATAAATTTCTCAAACCCGTCTAGGAGTGATTTAAACAGCAAGGATGAAGATGATTACGATCGTCTCAGAGAACGCATGCAGCGCTCATGCAAAAGCAGCGGAGGTAAATTTTAAAATCATTTTTGAACATATATTAGATAATCTATTAAAATAATTAAAATACCAAAACTAAAGTTAATCTATCTTACTAGTTATGTATAATGCATACGTACTAGTGATGTAACAGCAGAGACGTGTATATGAACACATCTATCATGCAATGTTGGTATTCCAGCCCTATGATGTACTACAGCTATTTGTTGAATTCAGTACAATTCCGCCACGCATTGTGATGTCATTCGGCACCAGTACCAGTTTCTACAGCAGTGGAACACCAACACCTTGAAGTACAGTATTTTTGGTACTTTCTCGAAGTACCAAAAGTACGGTATCTGGTGCGGTGGAAAAGCGCCCATACAATATCAGTCTCTGTCAGGCATTTCATCCCCTTTACTGACACCTAGTGGACAGCGGCAAGAATCGCCATTTATCAATGTGTTGCACACGTCACACATCATTCTGCTTTGCACTTTTTCTCATTTAAGACTAAAACCAATTTTGAACCTGTGTTTTCACACCCAGCCAAAAGTAAAAGGAAACACTGTTGCTCAGACCACATATTCAACTGAAAGTTAATGAATGAACAGAGAATGAAACTAATCTTTCAGCGTTCAACTTATGCAAAGCATCTCTACAAAAGATTTAGCTCAGGATTAACCGACCAGAACCTTTAACAATGCAACCTTTCACTTCTGCTGGGCCCAGAGGCTGGGAGTATAGCCCATACCATCCTGTGTTTACTGACATCCTGGGCCAATTTATGGCATCTGAAAGGAAGGGGGCCGGGGGGGGGGGCATGGCTGAATACCTGCAGCTGCTTGATGGTTTCCCCCCCCTTGCCGATGATGAGTCCAGCCTTGCCAGCAGGAATCATCATCTCCTGCACAGAGCCGCTCTGCCCATTGGTGGACTCGTGGAATGAGGATGGGGGCGTGCCCCTCCCTCGAGATACGATCTCATCCAGGAACATCTTTGCCTTCCTGGGGAGATGCAGGTGGAGCGGTCAGCCATCTCGCACACAAGCACAAGCACACGCACGCACACACACACACACATACACACACATGCTCGTTCCTGGCAGGCAGGCAGATACTCACTGTATGGATTCTGGAGAGCCGGTGAGGGACACATTCCTTTCTGGAAGCCCTCCACTATCTGCCAGAAGGAGGACATCTGAGGTCAGGGCACCCTGCGTGTGTCTGCTTAGCTACTGGTATTAAAACGCACACTCTGGAGGACCAGGAATCCTCGACACCCCCGCATTTTAACTCGGCACGGTCCGCGTCCATTCGCCGCACTCACCTGGGGCGATCTGAACCTTACAGCCAGAGTCGTGCTGAATCTTGTTGATCTGTTCACCCCCTCTGCCAATAACTGAGAAAATCAGAACATGAAAATTACACATCACATAAGTAGGAAAACCCTCAAAAGAGAGCGCTCTACCAAACAGCAGCCTGAACTATTCCTAAACTTAGAGCTGAAGTATCCGAGATGGCATTTCAGCCAACCAGAACGTTTACAGTTCTGAGCCTTTACCCCTGAGGCACCTGAGTAAACTGTAGAATTTAATCAACAGCCTGATCCTCCAACAAAAATCCCACATGATATTCTGATATTCAAGGGGGGTTGACAAACGAGAAAAAACAAAATCTGAACCTTAATGCAAACTGCTATGCTAGAGTCCATAATTAACAGGAATCCAGTGATTAGGTATTGAACCCAACTAAAGCAGATGAAGTTTAGGTAAAAGGCATTTCTCAAATGATCGACATATGCTCATATGCGACCGGTCAAGAGGTGTATGATGCAAATCTGACACTGGGTTATAGGAATTTTCATCCTTGACATGTTTATGCATTGAGCAGGGCGTAACACACCTGGACACTCTGGGGGGGGCACCTGAGGCTCTATTAGGAGACATTGGTTAGGAAGTACTAATTTTCATTAAATCTGCTCTACTGCCAACAGTGAAAAGAACGCCTTTGTCACTGTACATTTACAGTACAACAAAAATTTCCCAAATAAGTAAAGAGGGTGATGAGAAGTGGGTAAGCAGTGTATCAGTCACAACATTTAAGGTGTCGAACACAAAAGAAGTGCTTTGAAATTATTCCATTCGGCAAAGCTGTTGAGTGGTCCATAGGCCCTATATTTTAGTAGCACAATTTTGCATAACAAGAGGTTTTATGAGAACACATCTATCATATTACAGTAGAGATGTGTAAGAGAACATCAATCATGTTACAGCAGAGACGTGTACATGAACACATCTATCATATTATAGTAGAGATGTGTAAGAGAACATCAATCATGTTACAGCAGAGACGTGAACACGAACACATCTATCATATTATAGTAGAGATATGTACACTTTTCACCAGCTCAGGGCCGCAAAACCTCGATCACCACTTTCCCATGCAGGTACGGGGGGGGGGGGGGGGGGCAGAGGCTGTAAACTGACAGACTGCATACTCACTGAGCCCAACCATGCCATCGGGGACACTGTACTCCTCTGTGGCGGTCGTCGGCCTTTGCCAGAAACAAGAAGAAAGATATTTACAGGTATTTAACAGACACTTTGATCCAAAGCGGCAGACTGAGAATGAAGGCTGACTCTGCCAACAGCAGGAATGGAACCAACAACCTTCGGATCCTGGGCACTGTGCCGAGCGCTAACCCACACACACCACCCCCTAGTATATCAAGTAAACGTACATGTAAGAGCGGTGTGCGCTGGGTTATGGGCTGGAAGTGGTCACATGAGCACAAGAGAGGCCCACGACCACAAGGTTTAACTAAAAAAAAAAGTTTAAATCAAATTAAACCACGAGCAACACAAAGTATCAATCAGGAGCCTCTCTAACTCAGCATAACACACCAATAACCTCCGATTCTGCTCCCCTCCCCTCCCAGAGAACACAGCCAGCGGCTCCTCTGCAAAACCACAAGTCACTCATTTCAATCACATCTATCTGGACTTTGAGAAAAAAAAACACACCCATTAGTGGGCTAGCTCATTAACAGAACTTTGTAATCAGTCCAGAAAATACTCCATCCATCTCCCATCCAAACAACTGTTCCATGCTCTCTTCCATTTTTACCTCTGCTGTGCTAAGGCAGCCAGCTGGGCTCCGATCGCTGCGGGAGAAAGACAGACATGAATCAGTTCAGCACTGGCAACATGTAAATCCAAGTAGAGGGTTAATGATCTGTGGACTACACCTATACTCAGCTATTGGGGACTAGCAAACAGGGAGCAGTACACCTAGACATAGCTGCTGGGGCGTGGTGCACTGTGAGGAATACATCTAGACACAGGTACTGAAGGCTAGCGCACAGAAAGGAGTACACCTGGACACCGCTACCGGGGGCTATCGCACAGGAAGGAGTACACCTAGACACCGCTACCAGGGGCTATCGCACAGGAAGGAGTACACCTGGACACCGCTACCGGGGGCTATCGCACAGGAAGGAGTACACCTAGACACCGCTACCAGGGGCTATCGCACAGGAAGGAGTACACCTGGACACCGCTACCGGGGGCTATCGCACAGGAAGGAGTACACCTAGACACCGCTACCAGGGGCTATCGCACAGGAAGGAGTATACCTGGACACCGCTAGCCCTCAGTAGCTGTCAGGGAAAAGTACACCTAGACACAGCAACCAAGAGGCCCATACGTGTGAATGATCGGGAAATGGTAAAGCCAGCAGTAAAGTGGGCAACACTTACATAGAGAAGTGGCAGAGTCACGGTCACTCTGGGACGCCATTTTCTTACTTTCTGGCTGTTCTGGAGGCAAAAGGAGAGGCCCATTAGCCATGTGGCTATTCACTAATCACCAGAAGAGATCCTGAGCAGTGAAAACACATCCATGTTCCAGAGCAGCAGATGCACGTTCGCTTCTCGCAGCAGGGTTACTTCAAAGCTATCCATGGGGGCTTCTTAGCACGGCGGACATGTCAGCACCACTACAGCCCACACAGAAATGAAGGCCAGGCACGCTCCCCCCAAGGCTGACCGGAAGAGGTGAAATGACGGACACGTGCCTACCTGCATCTTCCAGCTGCCGCTTCTGTGCTGTATAGGGGAAGCCCTCTGGGGCGGCGCTGTTGTTCAGTGGGGCTCCCCCGGCATCCCCCCCGATCTTTGCTGCGATCTGCCTCACGCGTGTGAGCAGAGAGAGAATCACGTTAGACATAAAATTTGCACTAATCATAGCACGATCAGATATCGAGTCACTAAACTGATTGTTTATTAGGAAGCTGCTTTCCCATTTGACCCAAATTCTGTTGCTGATCCTGTCAACTGTATCAGGAATTCACTACTTTACAGCTTCTTGTAGGTCCTAGACAGCGTTTCTCCATCTAATCACCGCATTGTTTCCCTGTAGCCAGTTTCATAACAGAAATAAAATGTATGAAAACTTCTACAGACTAGCACAAAACTGAACTATTGCAGGAAAACAAACTGACAGAGAGCTTGTAAAACAGTTTGTTTCGACATGCAGGTCATTGACAGCCAAACTGGATAATCTCCAAACGTTTGACGGACTTCCTTTCACCAGGTCGGTTGTTCTGCAAATTCACAACGAAATCTATAACTGGCAAAAACAAAAAATAAAAACCAAGAGAGTGTCTCTAGCCAGATTTCTGCAGAAAACTAACCCAATTTCACTTAAACCGTAGCTACACGTTTCATCCTTTATCTCGGATGTCGTTTGTTTACATGGACACTAGCAACCAAGCAAGTCTTGTAATCCGTATTACTGACATCTTGGGTCCGCAACTCAGACAATCAAGGCGGTCCTTTCCGACAATGTCATTTAAAGGGTCAAGGATGATACCAATAAGTTTTAAGGTAAGCTTTAATGCCATCCAAAGTGTTAAGGTTAGGGTTAGGTTAAAGTGATACGGTTAACCGTCGAATGGAAGGCGAGTCGGACATCACTTTCCTATAATATCAAAGTGTTTTAGGGAGATTTAATGCCGCTTCAAGTGTTAAGTTTAGGGTTATTTAAAGTGGGATTATCTGCAGTTAGGTGCTCAGCAGAACAGCAGAACCCTCAACTTCCACAAAGTCCCCGGAGAGTAGGAGGCGTTTAAAGGCAGGTTAAAGCGGAGGAAGCGTCGGCCTGCCGGCGTCGAGCAGCTCCCACGGATCCCAAGACAGGCGCTGGGGGGCTGACGGTCGCTTCGCGGTTAGCATGGGGAGGCCTAGTACCAGCAGCGGCGCTGCCTTCCCGGCGTCGCAGCGGAGTCCCGGAACAGAGTGTGCGTCAGCGAGGCTGTGGGGGACAGCCTGCCCGGCTGAGAGGGCAGTGTGAGCGCCAAAAGGGGGCCGGCCGGTCGCCTCAACCGGCAGCCGCACAGAGAAGCCGCGCCGGCTTCATTGATTCGCGACGCGTCCCGACCCCGACATACACACAGGCCAAGAGCCTCACCTGACGGGCCCGCTGCACGGCGTCCGCAAACGCGTCCTTCTTCAGGCCACCCCCGGCGCCCAGCGGAGGCTGTCCGCCCAGGGAAGCTCCAGCCCCGGGCGGGGGAACCGCACTGTACTCCGACATGCTGGTCGCGTCAAGGGGAAAGTGAACGAGTGAAAGCGGACGGCTTAGGCCCGGTCGAGGTGCGCAGAAGCGGGAAGCCTAGGATGCGAGATGCGGGGAGGAGCGAGGAAGCGGCGACAGGGGCGGGAACAGTGGAGCCGCCGACCAGTCTCCGGGAAAATACCAGGAAAATGGTGATAACGAATAACCGGGACCCGCGTGGGGGGGGGAAATGCACGAGCTGCGGCGAACTGCGGGACATGTGACGGACAAACTGACCAAATTAATTTTAACCTACTGTTAGCGCTGTGGGAAGAACCAACCACAATGCTATGACGTCACGTGATCGATAGCGTTTCTGTCCAATAGCTTTTCATAATGCAATGATTATGTTTCTAATTGATGGGTAAGGTGACAAGTGGAATTCCTCGTCTGAGGAAGGCGGTTCGTCTTCAGTGAATACAACAACGTTTGGGATTAGGCTGACGAAGTGGTTGTGTACGTGATGAGGTCAAGTAATCACAGGTTGCGGAAAACAAACGCTAGTTGGCAATAAAGATTGGTGTCCAGGGAATAACTGGAGGCTATTTTTGTTAAATAACAGATTTTCATTTTTTATGCTATTTTAAAGTAATAGTAGTACTACTGGTATTAGTCAAGCAGAATTTAATTGCACAAAGTAGACACTTCGCTTACTGAACATCCTTCCATCCATCCATCCATCCATTTTCTGAAACCACTTGTCCTATTCAGGATTGAGGCAGGTCTGGAGCCTATCGCAGAGGCTACGTGCACAAGGCAGGGAACATCCCAGGGTGGGCCACCAACCCCTCGCAGGGCACACTCACACACCATTCACACTTATGGGCAATTTGGGAACTCCAATTAACCTTTGCATGCCTTTGCACTGCGATTCTCAACACAGAATACATGGACCCCAAACTATTTGTACTTCACATCTTGTTGTTTGACCTTTATTCATATCCATACACGTTTATGAATAATAGCATTTTCTTAATCTCGCTATCTAGTTTTATCTTTGTTCTATTTATTGTTTTGTGTATTTTTATCTTAACAGTATGTTTAAATTGTATGTACTCGTGCCACCACCAACCTAATTTCTTCTACTAGTTGTACATGGCGAATAAAATGATTCTCATTCCTCTCTTTAGTAACCTCAGGACACTTAAAGCCCCAAGACACGCAGAATGACATGAATTTTCTAGGTCTTTTCCTTGTTTTCAGAAACCCAAAGACGTGGAAACACCGTTGAAAATAATCATGACATATGTGAAAGTAACTTTTATATCCAGTAATGCAATTTTTTTTTCTAAATAATGGCACAGCAAAAAAACAATCGGCATTTGACATGATATTTTTAAATAAGCCAAACTTATTCTTACAAAAAGGTTTTCAATATTTATCTGTAGTTCCGCTAACAAACTAACTCAGTAGGTTCATAATCCAAACAGTAATAATAATAATAATAATGATGTTTCATTTATATAGCACCTTTCCAGAGCTCAAGGTTGCTTTACAAAATTTGACATTTTATAACAAATCAAGAAAATGTATCAGAAACTATTTACATTTTTATAAAATGATTATTATTAGAATGACTATATAAAAATCTGACTGCAAACAAAAAAACTAAAAATTCCAAAAGATATTTGTATTTTGTTTGGATACTTATGCTTAAGGTTACGGCTGGCCCGTAGAAATGAATGGACGGTCCCCACAAAGATATGAGTACGAATCTGTCTTTTTTTTCTCTCTTCTCTCCTTAACCCTGTATTAGAGAAGCAGGTGTTGAAGATGGATGGATCTTTAGTTCTGATTCCATGAACATTGCTTTAAATATATGGTCACACACAAAGGTTAAACACACAAAGAAGGACATTTGTTTTAAATTCTTTATTTGTTCAGCTTATCCAAAGTAAAACTTTCACTTTGTTTCTTCTGGAAATAATTCTGGAATTAATATGAACTTTTTTTGTCCAGCTCCCTAAGCACTAGAGCACCTGGTAAAAGCTTAAAATCATTAGGAACATGATCGTTTGTCTGAACTGCACTGTCCCATTTCCCACATAGCAAGAGCCTCTTATCGGACGGTGCACGCTCCATCGGAGTGTGTGTAGAAAAACTGCAGGGAAAAGTGACTTTTAAAAAGTAGGAAATGTTTGGGCAGCCAAATGACACGTTTTTAGATAACAGTGTAACTAAATTTAAAAGGACTAATTTTACATATGTACAAACTCTGTTCTAAACTCTGAAAATGGATGCTTTAAAAACACAGTTCTAAAATAGACATTAAAAAGACACACTATTTTCTGCATCAACAGCATGCAATTTCAATACTGGGAATAAACACAAATCACACAGAAGACTGAGATTGTCTTCCATTCACTTCCATGCATACAATCTCAAAGTCCCACTTGATAGTGATACAAAAATATGCATTCCAGTTTAAAATGCAAACAGATACAATCTTAACTTGTAATGCAAATATTTGTTATAATGGTATTAATTCATATAAAATACAATATTCAGTCAGTAGAAACATTGCTTTACGCATTTCAAAACACAGTAGTTGCTTTTAGTTGAAATGTGCTGAATATCTAGGCAGCCATTTTACAGCCCTCTCATGACTGGACCAGAGTTTCCAAAATGCCTTTTTTTTCAGATGCAGAGATTTCTTTCCCTTTCAGTCACCTGCCCTTCTTCTGCACTTCATGCTTTCTCGCAATTCCTCTCTTCCCATCTTGGCTGTTAGTTTACGCTGCATTTTGCATTTTTTAACGCCTGACCGGAAAACACCCAGTGCTCGGGCATGTCAGTCAAGCTGTTAAGGTTTTAATATGACAGTCAACATTCAAAACCAGCCACGTGCGATCTGGACTGACATGTAAGACAGTGGCCCTCACCTCCAGTGCTATTGGTAATCAATATCATGCTTTATGGTAATCAATCTAATTATTCTGCTATTTGAACTTGTTTAACAATTCGCTATTCTGACTTTGCAAATGGTTTTTGAGGAGTTTCTGGCACTCACTGCTGCCCCCTGGATTCCGGGTTGAGGGCCTCTTCACTTCACAATGATGCCAGCATCTACTGACTGAATGAATCAAGCAGCTCATTCATTAACGTTACATCATGTTTATAAAAGTTCATTTAAAGTACACTTGTAGTGCTTAGTTCTTTGAGAGACATCATTTAATTTGGTGTAGTTTGCTTGTTTACTCCTTGCCATAAATGAGCAAGTTGCGTGTTTTATCAACGTGCAAGATCATGCAGTAGACATGTCATCACAGATAAATAGGCCTGTCATCACAGATAAATAGGCCAGTGCTTCACAGTCCCCAGGGTGTCAAATTCCAGAGGACAGTCGTGCACAGGCCCTTTTCTTGGTCTTACAGTCAGTAAGTCATACACAGCAAGCCAGTTTTCAAGCATAGTGCAAGTTCAAAGCAGCACACGAAGGCAAACGAGCACGAGTGAGACAGTAGTGGTGTCTTCTTCAAAAAACACTATCTGAGGAAGCAGGCGTCTACAAGCACACACACTGCAGTTATGGGCCTTTCATTCCATCCTCTCGAAGGCACAGTGTTAACATTCAAAACCTGCTACCACCGTTTTTCTCGCTGATCAAAAATATGCATGTTCTTATTTCCGAAAGGACAGTCCCAGACTACACAACAATCCAGAAGTTTTGAAAGATTATCATCTTTTAAAAAAAGTCAAATGGAGCCCTGTAAAAATTGCTCAGGGCAAACTGCAAGAATATTCCAAAAATTACTGTTATGGAAAACTACTCATCCACAATCAAATAGGAACAGTAGGTAAGACATTTTAAAATAGGTTTTAAAATATCTCTTCTCCATATAAAAGAGCCTCAATAAATAATACATTTTATGTAAGTACAATATATACATAAATGAACATATGAAAGAAATATATTTAAATATATAACATATTCACATATTCATACATTTATTAACTTATATAGTGAAACTCGACTGAGAAAAGTTAAATTGTAAACTGTAAATGAGTAATATTTCTTTGTTTCTCTTTTTTGCATGAATTTGTTCTAAACCTGGTTTCAATCCCACTTTTTCACAGACAGTGTGAAACGAACAACGAGCCAAATGGGGCAGCACAGTGCAGGGAGAGGCAGGGAACCCTCACTGCACTGTCCGGGATCAAAGGCTAAACGGGGAACCCTCACTGCACTCTCTGGGATCAAAGGCTAAACGGGGAACCCTCACTGCACTGTCCGAGATCAAAGGATAAACGGGGAACCCTCACTGCACTGTCTGGGATCAAAGGCTAAATGGGGAACCCTCACTGCACTGTCCAGGATCAAAGGCTAAACACTGCCCCTGGTATGTTAAGGGGCAGCATGTGGCTCAGTGGGCTAAGCCTGTGTGCCTGTGTGCCTGTAATCACAAGGTTGCCAGTTTAAAACCCAACCTCAGCATGTCTGTGGGTCCTTGAACAAAGCCCTTAACCCCCAACTTCCTGGGTGCCGCTACGGCACCACAAAGAGCAAGTTGAGGGAGGCATAAAGAAAGTTTCCCCACGGGGAATAATAAAGTATCGAATATTATTATTAGAAGCAGCAGATCCTTAATGGAGACCAAGGGTGTTTATCTACAGGTGGCTGCCCTTCGCGGACAGCTTGCTCTACAAAGAGCAAGTTGAGGGAGGCGTAAAAACAATTTCCCCACGGGGATCAATAAAGTATCAATTAAATATGCTCAACTGACCGTACTTGTGTTAGTACGGTCAGTTGAGTTGCTAAGAACACAAGAACGTTCTTTGCTTTCCCGGTATTGATAAACACCCCAGTAGTCTCAAGCCAGCAATCCTCACTTTAGGAAGTAGCTGTTGTGCCCCCCCCCCCCCTCCGAAGCACTTGGAGGGGTAGGGATCACGATGACCTGCTTATCTACGAGCCACCCCCAGCACCTTCTTCATATGCTCGTACACCACGTAGGAGATGCTGACGGCAGGGATGACCTTGAGAAAGTTGGGGGCGATGCCCCGGTACAGTCCAGACACCCCCTCGCTAGACACGATGTGCTTGAACTGACCCAGCATGGTCAGCTGTGGTTTGCCCTCCACAACCGCTGAGGAGGAAACAAGAGGTAGAGGAGATCAAGCCAATGTAACAATCGATGTATATAATGCCTGTGTGCCACCCAGGGTTGGCACTGTTTTGGTGGCTATATTTCTGGAGAGGGGTCATCGTGACCCTGACCCCATGTCAGTATATATGCAGTTTTAATGCCACAGACCGTGTGACATAAGGACACACTGTCTCCATGTATTCTGACCCACTTCCGAACCTTTGCTCTTCTCACATGACCAACTGAGAGGGACTAATCAGCCCGGAGACCTTCGACTTTAACACGGCTGTTAAAATGTACAGAAGAGAGAGAAGCAGCCTGTGCTCACCCTGGGCCTGCATGCGGGTCCGGATCAGCGCCAGCGGATAACTGGCCAACTGGCCACAGGTGCTGGACACGGTGCCGCAGCCCAGCAGCACCAGGACCCCTGGGTCGGCAGTACCAACGCAGTAGGTCTGCAGCCAGGCGTTTTTTAGTGTCTGATATGGAGAGATAGTAAGATGGATAGTGAGAGATGGGGAGAAGGAGACAGAGAGGGAGGGAGAGAGAGAGAGACAGAGAGAGGGAGACAGGGAGAGAGAGAGAGACAGAGAGAGGGAGACAGGGAGAGAGAGAGAGAGAGAGAGAAAAACACAGGGGAAGAGAGAGATGGGTAGAGAGGGAGATATAGACAGGGGAAGAGAAAGACGGTGAGAGTTGGGGAGGAAAGGGAGAGGGAGAGAGAGGGAGAGGGAGACAGGGACAGATTGGGGAGAGAGGGACAGAGAGAGCGAGAGGGAGAGCGAGAGACAAGGGGAGAAAGAGACGGGGAGAAAGACGGGGAAGACAGAGAGGGAGAGAGAGACAGGGAGAGAGAGTGAAAGGGACGAGAGACAGTGGGGCAACGATAGAGGGAGGGAGAGACGAGTAGGAGAGACAGAGGAAGAGAAGAAATTAAATCCAATGGTTAATCTCAGTCCATTAAGATACCAGGTGATAACTATCATGAAGTAATGCTCAACTACAGGTAAATCCACCCAGTTATCGATCCAGATAGTGGGTCCATCACTGCTGGAAAAACGGCATTAAAGTGATCAGATAAAACTCACATCATTACAGCTCTCCAGAGTCAGGGTGGGGACCTCTGAGATACATGTGAGGAGACGCACCTCGTAGACAGCCAGGTCGATGCCCGCGTAGGGAATGATGCCCAGCGTGTTTGGCACGTAGCCTCGGTAGAAAGCGCGCACCCCCTCCCTGCGGAGGAGCTGTTTGCCGCAGTCAACCATCCCTGAGTACTGCCCCGTCTTCCGCAAAGTGAGCCGGGTCTTCAACACCTGGGCAGGGTTTGCAGGGGTGACAGCGCATGAGACTGTCAGAGTACTGTCAGAGTACTATCTGAGTACAGTCAGAGTACTGTCAAACAGTTAACTTTCTGTTCCAAATTCACAGACATATTCTTTTTAATAAGTGGCATAATATTTCTGACTGACTCATTATTTTCTGTTCTGGACACTAAACACAAATGTCTGGTGTTTTATGTTATTGCAAAGGCGTTACTAATTATAAAGCATCCAATGAGACTGCTTGTCAATTATCTTTTAAACTCAGAACAGCTTTTTTAGAGATATAATCTGGCTTTCAGTTTATTACTACTTGAAAAGTTTTACTTGAACTTTTTTGGCTGTTTCTAATGTGATATATAAATATATAGAAAACAAATGAAAGAATCCTGCGAGCTTTATCAGCGAGATGCCACAGCCGCGGGCCGGCGACCTCATTTAGCAACACGCTGCCCAGAGCCAATCAGCAGGCAGCGTCGAGACCCCGGGGAATGCTGGGAGATGCTCTACTCCCCTCAAGAAGGTGTCTCCGCCAGGCGACCCAGATGCTCGTGTCAAGCCGTTTTAAGGCTTAGCGGTGCTTCATGTCCAAATGCGCTACTCTGCGGTCCCCACTGAAGCTGGGGCAGGCTCCTGTCACTGACATAGGTGCCGCTGCACATGTACTCCAATCAAATGGGGCACAGGCAGGTCCGCACTCAAAGCATGCTGGGTGGTGTGGGGGTGTAGATGCGAGGACTTGGGGGGGTAAATCCTGACCTCCATGGGGTAGATGATGGTCTGTGCGGTGGCCCCCGCCAGCGAGCCTGCGACGAATCGCTCGTGGACCCGCAGAGAGCCGCCATCCTTACCGCCTTTCATCAGCCACTTGATCTGAAGGGGGGCAGAAAGGGGGCGGAGCTAATGAGTAAATCCAAGGGGGGGGCGAGAGCGAGACTCAGCCTAGCAATGGAGGGCAGTAAAGCGGGGAGGGCAGTAAAGAGGGGGGTGCGGCAGACAGAGGACCCACCTGCTCATATGCCATGAACTTGATGGCAGATTCCGGGGCGATCTTGAGCACATTGATGCCGTTGCCCCGCCAGAGGGAGCGTACCCCGCCCTCGCGGACCATCCCCAGCAGGTCATTCCAGAGGCCCATCCTCCGCGGGCTGGAGCCATGCACCTAGGTGTCGAGTCCAAAGGCATATCGGTGAATTGGACGGGCGCCGCGGATGCTGGAGTAACTTTAGCAGAGGTTATGAAATGGCTAAGCTAACACACTCCGATAGTTTTACACCAAAACAAAGATCATTTGACCATCATTTTCTTTGACTGCCAAAGACTTTTTCACAGTACTGTACGTGTTAGCAAACAGCCACACCCATAGGGATGTTATGCATCGTGGCATCTGTCCAGGTATGCAGGTACTCCATTATCCAGGTTAAGCAGCTTTCACCATTAACCAGGTTAAGTAGCTTTCACCACTCTGGTAGAACTGGCCCGGGTTCTGCCCTCACATGGTACTCTCTGGTACTACTAAGGTGTCTGTCAGCATTCAAAGACAAATGAAGAGTTTAGTAGACTGTAAAATGTACGTGATGGTGGTTTACAGTCTTCTTGAGGGACCGTGTTCTGCATGTGGGCACTGCTGCTCCAGCGACTCTGTCAGGCTCCTCACCTGAAGGAAGACTTTGAGCCGGTCCAGAGGGGCAGTGCCAGTGCGAGACACCGCCCCCGCCATCGCCCCTGCTGCCAGCTGCCTCCACACGACCCCCAACCTCTTCTCCTGCTCTGAGAAGTCGTCCGGCACGGTCAGATGCTCCCCGATGTCCAACATCTGAGATGGCAAGAGAAGGACAAAGGAAGCAGGGGTCTTATTCAGCCATGATCTGAAGAGCTCGTCAGCCTGGTTCTGATGCGTAAATCTGCTCAGATGGGCTGATCTCCTGTGAGCTTTTCATGCTCCTCAGATCCCCCCTCCGTTCTCCTCAGATCCCCCCTGCGTGCTCCTCAGATCCCCCCTACGTGCTCCTCAGATCCCTCCTGCGAGAGCAGCATCCCAACTCACCACACACCACCTCTCCCCCCCGCATGCTCCTCAGATCCCTCCTGCGAGAGCAGCATCCCAACTCACCACACACCACCTCAGACGCATGTCCAAGTGCATTTCTGCTAATACCAAGTGCAGGGTCTGGATGCAAACTAACCAGAGAGTGCTTCCAAAAGTGAGCAACATCCTCCATGCTGTGGAGAGGGTTCAGCAGGAAGTGATCTCGCCACTTGTTCCAGTTGATGGCCATGGTGCCGTCATTGTCCATGCTACCAAGGTAAAGCAAACATCGGAAGATCATGTGAAGGTCTGTCAGGATCAACCTTGCCTTGCCCCATTCTATCAGTTGTTTTTCTGAAGTTCCCTGTTTGGCCAGAGGGTGTCGCTGGTCATCCTGTTCTACTACCTGTGTTTCCATAGGTTCATATTGACTCACTGGTCCCTTGTTTAGGTCTCGTTACTTGCGTATATATATTCCTGCCTTTTCTCTGTTCCTTTGTCAGCTAAGTAGTCTGTTTAAAGGTAAACATTTCCCATTGTAACCCCTATTCATAATCTGTGTTTCCTCATGTTTAATTGAAGTCTTTGTTAGTCCTTAAATTACTTTTCTGTCTTTGTTTCAACCCCTCATGGTCACTTTTGTTTCTATGTGTTATGGCGTTAAGCTAGCAATGAAGTTCCCTGTGTCTGTAAGCCGTATTGTGGGCAGTCGTCAATTCCCAACTGACACGGAACGTGACAAGGTCTCGGGAATTCTGAATATATCATGTCCAATGTCTCACGTCTGGTAACAGTCAGGTCACAGAAAAGACTGTCCTACCCACGCTGCCCCGTGCACTGACCTCTGCAGGATCCTGGAGGCCTGATCCTTGGAGATGTCCACCCCCAGGTTATGCAGGGACTGCTGGATCTCCCCAACATCTATCTGACCTGCAAACACAGTACAAGTGCACCTCCAGTTAAGCAAGGTAACCCTAACACTAACTACAATTCTCCTTAAAGTATGTAATTCTATGGCCAATCATTATGTATTTCTTTGTTAGTACATGTGTTAGGTCCAAACATAGAAGCTGAGTACAATAAGGGTTTGTCCCCACAAGACAGCATCATAGCTGTTCCTCTTTACACAGGATGTCCAAAGCAGCATCCAGTCCTGCACTGTGTGGGACGGTGGGTGACTAACGTGAAGAAGGGCTTATTACCAGCGGCAGAGACCAACCCAGTGTCCACATTCAGCCATCCATCCCTTTGCAGTTAGTAGATGGATGGATGGATGGATGGATGGATGGATGGATGAAGATAATATCAAACAGAGAACATCTTAAAATCTTTGTGCAGCGTTTCAGCCTCAGCGCCCTGTCAGTTTCCAAGTCAGATTCATTAAGTGCATTTTAGGGGGGAGCCGCTGTGCAAGGTGCCCCCCCCCCCTCCCCGACAGAGCCATCACCAACGGCACGCATGGACCCCCCCTTCAGCTGACCATCATCGTTGCGGTCCAGACTGCGAAACATGAGCAGCAGCTCCTTCTCATGCGCTCGCAGGTACTGCGTGAACTCCTCAAAGTCCAGCTGGCCGTCATGATTGGTGTCACTCACACGCACGATCTGCTGGGGCAGAAGCAAGAAGGGGGGGCATAAGGTTAGGGGCAACGTGGATCCATAAAGAGACAACTCTACACACACACACACACAGGCCAGGGTGCATCATGTCATACAGATGATATCACCACGTTCCTGCACACAGGGTCTGTTCGCCTCTGCTTGGCAAACCTACAGGTTACACAGTGAAGAATCCCACAAGAGAACCACATCTTTATACATCTAGCAGATACATAGAGATAATGCATTCATATATATTCACACACTGTAACACGTCAGAATTAAAAAAAAAACAAAAAAAACCTCAACAGCACTGAGGTCTTCTCTTCCCTATTGAGTGGACCCCCCCATCCCCCCCGCCGTCATTTATATGTTGACAAAATATCTGAGAGAGAAAACAAATATGCACAGAAGCAATACTTTAAACCGGTCCTTTTAACACCGAGCACTGGATCCAGCTGAGAAACACAACTATAGGCTACCAATAGAAAATGGAGAATTTTCTGAGCTCAATAATGTCGATATGTGGTTGATTTGTTAGAGGAATACTCTTTGTGGCTATTAGACCTGTCAAACTTCAGACATTTCCAACTCTAATATATCAGATTTGACAAGCAGTGGTAACTGACGGAAAACTCAGCGACAGTCTTAAACGTGCTTCAGCATATACACACTTATCCCATTTTCACTGGACTTTTGACCCATACATTTCTAGTTTATTCTGATGTGGCAGTTTTGTTAGCAAAGACATCAAAGCACCGTCCATGGACACTCCTTGGGTTTGCTGTGACTGCCCGTATTAAGTAATACAACGGATTCGTGTTACGGATTTAAAGAACGGAACACTAAAATATTTATCCTCCTGCCTTGGACGTAAATTACCTGTATATAGGACTCAACATTTCACTGATCTGTATTTGTACATTAATCAAATATATGGCCGATATAAATAACTTGCTTTCTGCTCCGACCTTGCCCTACTGTATACGGGCGCCTCGCAGCTACAAGCGGTGGTTTAGCGTCGGTCTGTGACATTATCAGATAGGCAGCATAATAATTACTGTAATGCTGCAATATGAACGTGTTTCGCGCTTCCTAAGAAGCGGTGCCGTTCTTGTGCTGCAATGAATTGGCGTGACTACGCAGCTCACTGAAGGAAATCAAAAAATAGATTAATGACCCGATTTTTTTATGGAAAAAAAGAGGAAAAAAACTTGGCAGAGATATGTAGCCTATATTTCTGGCAGACGTGATCCACCACGACTTGCTAATGTCGGTGACAAAAAAATAAGTTACTAATGTCAAACTTCTGACGCCATAAGATGCTTTACCTCCTCCGCGTCGCTCCTTAGTATCCCCCGGGCGGCAAGTCCTGCCCGCAGCTCGCCCACGTCGATCCGCCCGTCATTATTCAGGTCCAGCTGCTCGAATAGTTCGGCCCATCGCTTCTCATGTTCGGGATCTGCGGCACCGTTATCCTGGCAGCGAGCTCGGGTAAAGCCCATGTGAATTTATGGTTCCGATGGTGGTGATGTGTCCCCTTTAAACGCGAAAACGCCGAAGACAGATCTCGGTTTCAGATAGATCTCAGCGTTCAGGCGGCGGCAGGACTAAGTTTCCCTTAATTGGCACCGAGTGACAGAACTGCGAAATTCGGTTTATATGGGAAAGTCCGTCCCCAGCCGCTTCGTTCGGTAAGGTGAGTTACCCTACAGATCAGAGGGGTAATCCATCGAGCATTGCGGGGAATCTCTAACTGGCATCCTGCATCTGTGTCATTAATCCTCCAATCGCTTATATTGCCTGTAAAGACCACGTCCACATTTTAATTCCCGTTTTTCTTGTTATCCATACAAAGCTTGTCGTTACACGCAGTATACACCGTCGCCTATGTAGCATCGCTCATGACTGCGTCCGCGCCGTACACCGCATTTTAACGCCACTGTCACCCGAATGAATTAAACGGTTCCCGATATTAGCCGCACTTTTCCTTGAGATTACCGTAGGCGTCTCCAGCTGATGCGTAGATTTCTACTTGGTTACTCTACTATTGTACTTTTAAGACTGACTTAAAGACTGACGAAGAACGACAGTGTGAAAACACAAATAGTAATGCTAAATAACTAAATATCTATTAACAGAAAGCCGTTCTGAGAATAGTAACGGCGCAAATACCGGCCCGCGTATTTAAAACAGTGAAACGAGAACACCGCCTGCCGGTTGTGTGTGTGTGTGTGTGTGTGTGTGTATATATATATATATATATATATATATATATATATATATATATATATATATATATATAGAGGAAATACTGGATTAAATTTCTGTAGTCGTGATGTTGTGACTTGCATAATGCTATTTACGGATCTACATTAGAACATTGAAACTGTGTGTCAGAGTGCAAAACGTTACTGAAAATATCACATCTCATTTAGTCGCCTAAAAAGTTGAAGATGCTTGATGCACCACTGGATTTTTATTATTAATATAATAGGTAGGAAACGTTCATTAATTAATATACCAGAAAAGGTTGAAGAATGACACGGAACTGTTATGGGAAGGCGAACACCTTGACCTTAGTGTGTATTTTATATGCCTAAAATCCCTCTACTTGGCTGCATTTACCAGTAAACTTCAGGGACAAGCTGGGCCAATGTGCTGTGCTGTATTTTTCAGATTCGGGGGAAATTTTACGGGTCCAGACCGGGCCGCTGTGCCCTGTTACCTTCCGTATCTTGACGCAATAGGGACATATATGCTATTATAAATTCATGAGCATGCATATTATATTGCATAGTGCCACAACAGTTGCGGGATCCTTGTACGTCTTACATCGTATTTCTTTATAGCCTTATGGGATATTATAGGAAGATACTATTGGGTTATGCTGCGTGACGCTTGTCTGACTCATGCCGCCGTTCAGGTGAATGGAAACAACAGACTCAGCATCTGCGGGATGGAGGGATTATGCTGAGGCACAGAGAGGTGGCGCTATGGACTAAAGTACAGGCAGGTGACACAAATTCCCATACCACGTAGATGCCAAAATTAATAAGAGAGCGTTTCCCTGCTGTAAGCCGATGCTAATATGTGCCTTAATGAATAAGATTCCTTCGAACAGTGTAATGAACAATTGTTATGTATATTTCGTCTTGAATACGGAGAATCATATAATCCGATTACTTTAGGTAAAATGTTTTTAAGGCGACGGGTGGTTACATTTAAGGCTATTTTTTTACGCAAGCTCACCATGAAAATTCTCGTTAGTTGATTAACAGTGAGTTACAAAATATAAATGTATAATATAAAAATATAAAAAGTTGCTCTCCCCGCCACTTTTATTCAAAGCCATTAATGTTTTTGCATGTTTATAGAATTCCTTTATTACCGATGTACAGGTAGCAAGTACAAAAAAAACATCTTTCCATATCCCACCCAGCTACTCTATGAGACATACATACATACAGGTGAGAGCAATGCAATATGAACTGGTTAATCTCTCGCTGATCTGATTATTTGTTTATGTACGCACGTACCCCCGAAAGAAGTGGGAGATCGCATTACTAAAATCTCAAGATCTGTTTATGAAATTTGCAGGAATATTATTTGTTTCGGATTGTTATTATAATCATCTTCAGTAGTTTCAGAACACGATTTTAACGATGGTTAAATATGATATAATAACAATAATTGGCCAGAAGGGGGCGACAGGGCCACTGAAGTGACTGTCCTCCCTTCAGTCAAATCTCGCTCTCCCTCACTCCCTGAAACGTGATATAATTAAAAGAAGGGGAACAAAGCACTGAGTTAACATGTGGCTCGCATTACATATGTTTTTTTGTGGTAAAAGCAGTCTGTAAGAGAAGGTAGGGTTAAAGGCAAGAGTGTTTGCACAGAGCGCTTTGGCGGTGATGTGTTTGTGATTAAGGACGCTGCTTCAGACCCTCCTGATGGCATAGAGAGCGCACTGTTGGGCACTGTCTGACGATGCCTTCTGAATTGTACTTCACATTTCTGCTAAGTAAACACTTAGCGATTCTCATGGCCTCGAAGTAAGTTAGCATTGCGCTTCACTGCTCGCAGCTCGTGAGACTTGTGTTTATTCTGGAGTCGCGGGTTCCCTCCCGTAGTGCAAACACAAACAGCTAGTTGAACCAGCTTTTTCAGAATGACCTGCTGTGTGTGTTTGATCTCTCTGATGGATTGGCGTGCCATCCTGGGGCACCCCTACCTCGTGCCCCCTGAGACAGGCTCCGTGCAGGATTAGTGAAGCACAGATCGCTGATGCGGGCTCACATCACATCACATCACCGCCGCTGCTCTTAGGAGCCACCTTACCAAGAATTAGGGCTTCCAAAAGCTGCTGGAGTCCTGCCCACCTGCAGATGCCTGCAGGTCGCTGCTATAAAGCACGTGTCTTAGCATGATACCTGCCATTCTGCTCCAGCCCAGCGCACATCAGCCAGGCCACAGATATCACTCTCGGATCTCAGATTGGCTGCTTTTTGACACTTCGAGAAAACATCATGACTCCATAAGCATAATCAAAAGCAGTTTCACACTTCAAAGGCACAGATCATGCAAGCAGCCAGTAGTGATCAGTAGCATAACCTATGTAAACATGGCCTTTTGGAAATTCACAAATTAGCCAGAAGGTGGCCCAAGGTTAGTGTATAGAATAATTAAGTTTATCTGCTTACTGATTGGTCCAGAGCAGAAAGGATATGCATTTAGGTATAGTGTGAATGACAAGCATTCTGTATTATTTATTGAAATGACGTTATTAATCCCCATATGGAAATTCTCTTTTCACCTTCCCCATCCTGCTCTCTGTGACACACATGTAGGTGAGAGTTAGCTCGGCAGTGAAGGGTCTCGCTCTAGGGCCCACAGACATGTGACTATTCGGCTGAGGCACATTCATTCTAACAATTAGTGTGTTTTTATGTGTGAATGATTTACTGCACAGTGTCTGATAGAAACAGCCCCAGTCTTATGTGCAGAGGTAAAATCTGAAAGGCAGTTTAAGTCAAAAGATTTTCCAGCGTTATGATTTTCTGTGAGATGTTCTCAGCGGCAACGATCAATTTCTTGTCTTTATTAGATGAAATGTATTGATTTATTGATTTCACGCTGCCTCCTTTAGAAGGTGTAATTAAAGCAGTTTACTAGCTGGAAAAATGAAACATCTTGCACAAAAACTATTAAATGACGTAAGAGCATCTGGTTGAATTAAACAGAACTTTCATTCCAGAAATTGTACATATACCAGAATGCGTGCCCCTGTCTTCAGAACAGCTTGAAAGAGATCGATATGCAGCCAAAGGCGGAGTCAAAGTTGAGGGATAGTGATTCTGAAGGTTGCTTAGAAATACCATTTCATACCACTGCAGATGGCCAACAATGGAACGCTTGCAAAGGGCTCAGCCCACCTCCGTATTTTCAAATGTCGTTGGGTGTAATGAATTTTGCCCGTTATCGGGTGACAGCGTGGTTCCCATGTGAACCGTTTGTCTTATTGACGTCCTGTGCTGCAGCTCCTTAAATGATCAGTGCAGAATTGAATGTTTTCTATTAGCAAACCTGGCAGCATTCAGGACATGATGGAAAGGTCAGGTCTGCATGCAGGCTGCCAGACTGATGATATTTTCCCCTGCCTGAGCAAACAGCCCTCCTGTGTTTTGTAATGGGCCTGAGCTTCTATGAGTTTGCAGAGCTACGCGTCCGTCATAGCGCCAGAATATAGGATTGCATCCATTCATTTCCTGTGGCTATTGGCCGAGATGGAGGCTGGAGTGAACCCAGAGCCTCTCCGCGAAGCACGGGGCGCCAGGCGGGTAGTCCGCTGGACGCGTGCTCAGACACGATTAGAGCACCACTTAGAGGATCCGATTCACTTAAACCATGTTTCTTTGCACCGCTGGAGAAAAATGGGACCCTTAGAGTCAAGGGAAGGTTGTAAGGAATTTGACATTGGGGGATGGGGGCGGGAGGCTGCAAATTCCCCCCCGGGAGGGGATGCGGTGTGTATTGCGGCAGCAGTGGGCACACGTGCAATAGTCACACCGTGAAATGCGATCTGAGGTAGATTTTAAATAATGTTAGAATAATAAATTATTTTTTAAAAAGACTAACACTGTTTACAGAACATAAAAAAATGAGTGATCCATATGATAAAATGATTTTGTCTGATACAGGACTACAATGCTTGTTAGGTGTACGTTTCATCCTTGCGCTCTACATGTGCAGCAAATTGGTCTCAGTAATGTACAGATTCATAATGAAAAATAAGGAACACAATCTTATTAATTTATGTTTGTTTGTTTGTTTGTTTATTGGGAAGGGGAGGGGTCTGCCAATATTGGGGGAACACTACGCCGCCGGCCACTGGCTAACCCTCTGCGCCACCGGCCACTGGCTAACCCACTACTGCGCCGGCCACTGGCTAACCCTCTAACTCACTATGCTGCCGGCCACTGGCTAACCCACTACTGCGCCGGCCACTGGCTAACCCTCTAACTCACTATGCTGCCGGCCACTGGCTAACCCACTACTGCGCCGGCCACTGGCTAACCCTCTGCGCCGCCGGCCACTGGCTAACCCACTATCCCACCAGATAGTATAACTGCCTGCAGTAACTGCTCCAGGTTTTGTGGACTAACTGCTGGCATCCTGCTTGGTGTCCTGCCCTCAGCAGAAGGTTGTCGGAAACCACAACAAGCATCTGCTATGTGCTGATTGAACATCTGCACCCTCACCAGTCCATGGTCCTAGGAGCTCAGTTATTAACTCTTGATGGCTAGAGATGTATGTGACTGATGGCCTAGCTATCAATACGACATGCACACCAAATTTAACTCAAAAGGCCTGGTTGCACAATACGTATCCCAGCTACTGACTCAACATCTTCTAAATCATCCATCCATCTTCTTAATGTCCTTGTCACGGCCATGGAGACCTCACAAGCCAGGCAAGGAAACAACACAGAAATATTCCAGTGACAGAAAAAAAATATTATTCAGAAGTGAGATTCTGAATGGTCACAATTTTCATTCATTGTCCGGTGAGTTATGTTGTAACAACCCACTGACAGCAATGAATGTGAACTGGGACCCTGTGTTGTAATACCCCAGCTCGGCGAATGGGGGAGCTCACTTCACTGCACATGCTGGTATACTGCGGCAGCCATCTTGGCTGAAACCACTGCTGTGAATACATTTAAATGTTTTGGTAGTGAAATAGGAAACAGCCATTCCAGTAGGGGACTTTGTGTAAAAGTGTCGGCATACATTATAAAGTCCCTGAATCGCTCTTTGGCTTCTTTTTTTAAAGAGCTAAATGCAAACGCAGAGCACAAAACCTGTGCAGAAGTTTGGCTGCGTGGTCTGCTTATGCACCAAGGAACGTGAACGCTCAAGACCCAGGGCACACCCAATGTTCGATGGTTTCTGCTGCATCCACAAACTCACCGACAGCATTGAATGTTCACTGGGACTAGAGAAGAAGCCCACCTTCCCATGCAGACTGGGGCGTGAGGGGGCCACTGGCATACAGTGACAAAGCAGGCAGCGGGTACTGGCTGGGATGTAGCATTAGCACTGCGGGGCCTGTTGTCTGATTGCTGGGGGAAGGGAGGAGACAGGCAGTGGGGGCTGGGCCGAAGGGGGAAGTGTGACAGAGAAGGGAGGAGGGAGAGAAAGGAGAGATGGAGCTGGTGTATCTGATCAGGTTGACTGCGATTGGGTGGGGGAGGGAGGTGATGATCAGCTCCAGGCATTGAGCTCCTCCTAGACAGACAGAATAGGTCAGAAGGTCAGAATAGAAAAGGTTGAGGTCTCGTTTTCTATAACAGCGCCACCATCTGGCTGGAGGTCAAATGTGCATTCTCCTGCCCTGGGAGGGTCACATGTAGGGTTACCACCTAATCCATGTCAGGGTAGGACACTTTGAGCTAGGACAGGATTCGTAAACTACCATTTCAATTGAAAGGATTTGGATGTCACGTCAGCACTGAGTTCTTGCTGTGTGCTGATTGGTCAGTGTCCTATAATCATGCATGTGCCAATCAAGGAAACAAACCAGTCAAAGCACAATAAGAACTGAACTATAGTAGTTTCTGAAACCTGAAGTAGCTCAAAGTGTCCTCGCTGACATGGATTAGGTGGGAATGTGTCCACATGTGCATGCGGTGCACACGCTCACACACCAGCCGGCGCGGAACCCCCCACCGCCTGAACACGCTTTGAGGCGGTAACAGGAAAGACGCTAATTAAAGAAGAAGTAGGAGTGTTGGTCAGGCTGACAGCAGCCGTGCCGAGATGCGGCAGACCGTCAGACTGCTCCAGACTGTGCATCCCTGACTGTGGCGAAGCGTAAGGAGGAGCCCCACCGGGGAATGCTAAGGGGTCCTTCGCCGGGGGGGGGGGGGGACATTGCTCCCGCCCACCAGGCCACCATTATAAACCCCAGTCAGGCAGCTTTTCTGAAAAACTTCAACATAATTAGTCACTTTGGTGGAGAAAAGAAAAACAAAGATCTCCAGCTTCCATCCCCGATTTATCATTCCCAGGAACAGCTACCATGCTTTAAGGAGACTTTGGACAGACTGGCCCTGGCTGAATGCCTGCCTCACTGCTTCTCCCCGTAATCATGCACACCTCTTCATGCACGGCAATCTTAACAACTCTGGGAATGAGCTCCCTCCCCCTCGTCTGCGAGACCGATTCAGTGTCTACCTGCTCCAGACTGGATCAATACTTTAATGCAATTTGCCACTGGCATCCGTCGCTGCTTACATGTATATATTCCTAACACACAAACGGATATGCACTGGGTCCCACAGGAAGCAAATGAGAAACATGCAAACACGGCAGATATATCAAAAGAAAGCTATAACAATTAAATGTGTGATGCTGTGTGTCTAATACCCGCTACTACAAGAAACATCTAGAGTAGATGCAGATGGCTTGTATTTTAGCACCTCAGGATGTCTGTGTGACACTTAAAGAATTAAACAAATATACAGAAAAACTGATCTGTTACTTCACAAAGAACTGGTTACAGACCCTGGTTACAGACCATCAGCAAAGTGGTCAGAAACATGCAAAGTGCTTGTGTGCAAATACCACGTGGAAAAATGAAGGAATAGGATCTCCGGATGCATAACCTGTTTCCTCTGCTCATACCTTGCCCCCCATCCCCCATCTTGAACTCCTCCGCTTTAGTTTTCTCCCCCAGCGATCCTGTCCCTTCCCCTCTACCTTCCGCCAGGCTTCCGTCTTCTGCCTCCGTCTCCTGCCTCCATCTCCTGCCTCCGGCTGTCCGGCGGGGCAGCCTCCTCTCTCCGTGTGTGTGGCATCTGCTTCCCACCTCTGTGAACTTAACAACAGACTGTCTGCTGGTCTAAGCGCGTGAGGCTGAAAGGCAGGGGGAGGAGGAGGAAAGAGGGAGAGAGAGGAGGAGGGGAGAGAGAGAGTGAGAGACAGAGAGAGAGAGACAGAGAGAGAGAGACCAGAAGAGAAGGAGAACAAACCAGGACACACTGTCTGTCTGAATGAAGCTGAGTCCCCTGTCTGCTCTCTCTCTCTCTCTCTCCCTCATACATATTCCTCAGCTCACTCTCCCTTCATACACCTGCTGATATTTTCACACATCTTGCATATATTTCTATGCCCCCTCTTGTCCCTACTTGTCATCCACCCCTTCTCTCTCTCTCTCTCTGACACACACACACACACACTCCCTCACTAATGAACAGCCTGTCTGGTCCTTTCTAACACTCCACACCATCCATGTCTCCACACGTCTCCATCAAACGCTCTGCTCCCAGTGTCTTCCCATTCAAACAGAACAATGGTAGATAGTCTCCTGTATGAAATGGTAGCTTTTCCACAAGCCTAGGAGACTTGACTGGGTTGCTAATTAGTCGCAGCTGATCGTTCCTGATGTCTCTCCTGCCAAGGAGCCCAAGTGGGTGTCGCGGTGGGGGTCGTGGAACAGGGATCTGCACCCGGGCTGCTCTGAAAAGGTCATCGGGGTCGCCCGCGCCCCGCCATGAATAACGAATAACAGAGACTGTCGCATGGCGAGAGCGAATCTCCCCGCCTTCCCTTCTGGGGTGAACGCGACCCCCACGGAAAACACGTACGTGTGTAAGACTCACCGCCGTCCTAAACCCTGCAGAAAAAGCTGGATCTGCTCTCCTCCCTGCATTGATCAGACTCTGCAGGAGCTTTCTGCTCTCCGTGGCCAAGGGGGTCAGAGGTCAGCCTGAAAGCCAGACACCCTCCCACTCACCCAACCCCCAGACTAACCAGTCTGTGCATTTAAGACGCAACTAGACCCAGCAAGGCTCACGCACTCAGATCAATGCCGCCGACCAAATGATCAGACAGACTGATAACTGCACACGGATGTATATTGCAAATCACGCAGATACTGAATATGTTCGCGGTTGTGTGGCAGAAACATGGTAGCCAGGCTGCTGTAACATTATCTGCAAAGTTTCTTAAGGATTTTATCGCCAAGGACTGCCTCAATGACATCTACTAAACTGGTGAAAGGTCCTTATGGGACAACACTGGTTTTAGGAAGGAGCTCTGCATTCCTGCTGTGGTAAGACTCCGCATGGCCCAAACTGACTGGCCACTTCCTTTTTCCAGGATGAACTGGGAAAGAAAAATCGACGTGACGCTGAACTCAGCATTAGGTGCTGAGAAGCAGCAGGGAAAAGCGCAGCGGAGAAGAGGGAAGCTAGACTGAGGAAGCTGGTTTTTATTTTGCAGTCTCTTTATTCCTGTGAAGCGTCGCTCCACAGACAAGCAAGCAGTGGACAAATGGAGCGGAGAGGGTGACAAGCTCCCCCTCCAGGGGATGATGCATTAAAGCCAGATGAAACCAGATGCTGCCGAGTCACAGCCCCTGCGAGGACCACAAGGATGTTACAGACGTCACACGCAGCAGCGAGGTCTACATGACAGTTGTGACTCCAATCAACGGGCGACTCCTGATGAATAACCTTCCACTGTAATCACCACACAGCACTTAAGGCTTTGTGAAAGAGACTCCAAACAGACCTTCAGTTAACACGGGACACTCGATATTCCCGTTGATCGGTGTGTAAAGTGCAATTATTACATCACTGGTTGAACTGTGACCCCACTACAGACAGTTCAGCTTCCCTTCTAAGGTAACGTCATGGATTGAGTTACTCCCTACGGTGCACAGCATCAAATCTGGCCCTCGATCCCAAATCCAGGCCTTGTTTTCAGTTCTCCTAGGTAGCTAGTTTAATCATTACTGATTCTGATTGGTCAGAGGCTTCACACCTTCCTCACAGGTAAAGGAAGGCTGGAAAACCAGCAGTGCTCGGACCTCGAGGACCGTGATTTGAGTCGCCTTGGCACAGAGAAACATCTGTCCAAAAAAAATGTGGCCTGAACTGAACAAAGCAAGGCCGAAGAAAGCAGAATAACTGAACCCCTTGGGTGGGCGGGGGATCTAGAAGCTTTTACCCGAAGGCCTGAGAGACCAGTGAAGTGACTGAATGTCATAGAAGCCAGAGAGAAAAGCTGAGGCTGTGACAAGATGACATTTTTTATTTGTTTTTTTAGTTTCCCAGTGGACCTCCTGTATGTGTAAACGCTCAATGTTTCCCTACAGTGGTATTTTCCATTGTCTATCTAGTCACCTGCTGTACATCGTCCTGCATTTTCTAAGCATGATGGTCAGCAGGAGGCAGTAAACACGACAATAACAAAAAAAAACCACAGATGTTAAACTGTATTTCTGCAGACAGAGAGCACCTGCCTTTAATATGAGGCTTACAGGGCCAGTACAGACACTAGCTGCAGCTCTGCATTCACCCCCAGAGGCCCCCGCAGCTGGGGCTGAAATTAGAGGACACCCCCATGCTGCAGGTGTCCCCCCCACAACAGAGCACGCTCCCCTTTCCTCATCAGTATTCGTGCATGTCTGCTCCTTAGCGCCCCCTGCTGTCTGCATCCAGCAGGCTGCAAACCCCGACAGCTGTTATTCAGATCACAAGATGACCCACAGATGTTCAATTCAGCAAGAGAAAAACAGAGGAAATGTCATGGAAAGCAAATACAGTATTCAACCTTTTAATTACAGCCATTTGCAATTATCTCACTTTATATTACATGTAGATGCACGGCATTTGACTTATGTGCCAGTGTTTCTCAAACTGGTCTGCAGGGACCCCCAGAATCCCCAGGAGGGAGCAAAAACATGAACCATCTGAGTTGGGAAACACTGCAGGTGGGAGCAAAAACATGAACCATCCAGGTTGGGAAACACTGGCTTATATAACAGTCATTAATTGCTGGGCTCATTGAAGACACCTTCATTGAAGATGAAGGCGGAGCTCAGCGAAGACTCAGTGGATGCGTTCCCTAACATTCTCATCACGGCCATAGCAGGGAGCCCTGTGCCAAAGTTTGGTACTCAGGTCTGAGAGCTCTGAACATACACTGGGTCAGTCCTCGAGCTGCACGACCAAAGCCACCTTCCCATGTGGCCATCAGAGCCGCGCCTGCCCTGCAGCCTTTCTCTCCTCCTCTTCACGCTCCGCCTGTTCTATGTCCTCCGCACTCATCTCCAGTGCCCTCCAGGACTCCTGGTGCAGCCGCTGGCTCCTGTCTGTCTCCTGGGCGCCGGGAGGCTGGGTGGTGGCCAAGGCGGGAGCCATGTGCCTGAACTCCTCCTCGTTGACGTCATAGTCCTTCATGCGGGTGTCCAGCACCCACCAGCGGCCTGCGAAGCCCACGTCCAGCACGCGGCCTGGGAGCTCAGCCCAGGGCACAGACAGTGCAGAGCACTGGGCCTCGTACAGGCTGGCCGCGGGGTCGTAATCCACGCGGTAGGCCAGTGAGGCCACCCCCAGGCTGAGATGTCGCAGCCGGCTCTGATTGCGCAGCCGCAGCAGGTCCTGCACGTGCCCGTCGGAGGAGCCGTTACGTATCCACGGTGACAGCAGCCCCAGTTTATTGGCCGTCTCCAGCAAGCTGGTCTCGAAGGAGGCGTCGTCCGGGTTGGTGTAATAACAGGCCCAAGCCCCGCCCAGGAGGCCAAGGTAGATGGAGGCCTTAAGCGGCTGCTGGTAGGCCCCCACGATCACCTCACGACAGGCCTCCTTGTAATCGCTCAGCAGGCTGCTGCACCACACTCCTTAAAGGGACAGGAGTCATTTAAAATGTTCAAATCCACACCTCTGAAAAGAATATACATTAGCTAAATAATAAGACTGGTTGGAGGGTCAGTGGGTAGCAGGTTTGAATCCCGCCCTCAATCTGTGGGGAGGGGGGTCTGCTCGCTCCCACCATGTTACACGGATTTCCTAACACAGCTAAGGACATGCAGTCAGGCAAACTACCATGAATAAATGGCTCGAACCATCAAATCAGTTGTGACTGTGTGATGGGCTGTCATTCACTACGGTGTTCCCCTTCTTAGTATGTAGGAAAGGAGACAGACAAGGAAATAAGCAAGCAGGCAGCAATGGTAAACCGCTTTATATACCACAGCTATTCACCCAACGTGGACATGTAACACTAAAGTAAACAAATACCTTGTAAGGCCAACTACAGATCACCATTTAACACCCATGCTTTTAACCCCGAGTACAATTCATCACTTGGTTGACAACACACTCACTTATTTTCTATCCTGTATATGTATTGATAATATAAGCTACTAACATTTTTAGAATCATCAGCTTACCCAGGCGACTGTTACGCAGCCTTTCCCACCTGGTCACCTTGGCTCGGGGAGCCGAGGAGCACCATCTTCCGAACACCCTCGAAGCCGCCATATTCACGGGCGAAAGCGAGGCTCGTAATAAAACGGAAGTGAATCGCGGCACAAGCGGAAGTAAAAACCCGCCATTTAGGCTCAGTGATGTGATATCAGCCACGAATAGAAACAGGTGTTACATGAAACAAAATGTCAGCTTTCCAATCTGTGATCTCGTATTAATGTTCCGATCAAGAAACAATGCGTACATGTCTATAAAATAGCTAAATACTGAAATATTAAAATTTTACGTGTGACCTTACGCTAAAAATACGTCATTATTTACATGGTTTTCACAAAGCAAATGGAACAGAATTGTGGGATTTGTACACAAGCGACTTTTAATAAGTACGAGTTTATAGCTATCTGCATGTTGATTGACCATGTTCACGTACAGTGAGTAATAAAATCGAGCTAAAGTGGAACTTAATATTCGGAGCACGAGACGCACTCGTACACGCGGCGCCCGCGTCACCGTGGCCACGTGACTGCGGCCGCGTGACGTGCGGCCTTCAGCAGGATCCGGCGGCGCAGATGACGTGGAGGTTTAGGGTAATGTCAACATGCGATATCGGCAGCATCAAGGCGAGTCCGCGCAGTGTACGGGTGTGCTTGGAGGCAGAGTTTATAAAATACAGAAAGATTTAATTACATCTATAAGCTATCAGAAGCGATGCGGCGGGAGACCTGTGTAGCTTGTTGGCTAACGTTGCATGCTTAATTACAGCCTGAGGTGTAATTTATTCAGTGCTAGACAGGAACCTGCTTAGGTACTTTGTCGTCGTCGGGGCGACGGCAATCACGTTGTCAGGGTGAGTCCATTTTTTCAATGCGACAAAGAGTTATGTGATTTAACAAAGATAGTATTTAACGTGTATATCTTCTCAGTTGATGCCATAGGTTTATTTAATGTTTGTCGTTTTGTTGCAGATCTAGTGTAAGGCACACCTGATTGTGCTGGATATGGCTTCTTTTGACGACCTAAAATTCCAAGGTACGCTATATTTGAATGACAACTAAGGATTATGTATCTTTAATAATTATTCTATAATTATATCTCTAACTGACAAAGCCGTAACATTTTTGCTTTCGTACTGGATATAAACAAACTGAGTGCTTAGGTATACTGTAGCAGACGTCATACTGTAGCTATGCCTCATTAGTCATGCGCAGTATCTGCACCTCGCCTTTTCTCACCTTACTGCATTTCCACGTGTGATTCTGTCTCACGTCTCTGTAGAGTTTGAGGTGGCTGCAGACTTACTGTCTGCTAATCCCAATGCCTCCACTGTCAGTGCATCTAGTAACAATCCTGCTCCCATCCAAGGAGATTTCAAGTTGGATCTGTCAGAGGAAGAGGCCGGCCAAGAGGAGAATTCTGAGGTCCTCCACTACTCATTCTTAAATTAGCAATAATGTTTCAGTCTCTATTAATGTCCCCTATCTCTTTAGGGTGGTGGTTCTCTACTGGTTTAGCCCCAAACCCGCTTTTTTCCTTCGTCATTAAGTTACCACAGTAACTTTGTGCACTGTTAAAAAAAAATTCACAACAAAATGCGATCCAGTAAAAATGGTCCTGCAATACATTTTTGGGTCATGACTCGGCAGTTGAGAAAAAGTGCTTTGGGGGAGTTTTTCAGAAGCCCAAATCGCCATAGTCAGCCAGCTGTCCTAAACATTCCGTTACAACAGGATTATTCCTCTGAGTCACTTTCCTGTCAGCTGCATCTTGTCTGTACATGACAGTATCACCCGTGTCCTTATTGGCGTCATGGAGCGGATTAGTGATGCTTAAACACCAATCACACTACATTAGCCAGCCTGAACGCTTTGAATCGCCCTCATTATCTCTGCTAGGGATTTCTCTGTGCCTTGTATCTGGGTAACATTCCCTTTACCCATGAACCTGTGATCTTTACACTGTTTACAGCTCCTTAAAGGGGAGAAACAAATCGGGGGCTTCTGGACTTTTGAGTACTACCAGTCATTCTTCAATGTGGATACCATGCAGGTACAACATGCGGCACGCCTGTGCCCTTAGGGTCCTGAATCCTGATGGCATCCCTTTCGAAACTCATCTTCTTGTTGGACCCTTACTAATCGCTTGCTTGTCATGTAATGCAGGTCTTGGACAGAATCAGAGGCTCAGTGATGCCTTTGCCACGGAGGAACTTCATCAAGCACCACATTCGGGGAAACCCTGATTTATATGGTACGGAGATTCTGTCCCTGCGTTGCATGTTGGACATACAGCAGCCGTATTTACGTAGCCGAGTGACAGGATATGAGGCAGAGCTGCACTGTTATTTCTCTGTTCCTCCACCCGTCCAGGACCCTTCTGGATCTGTGCCACCTTGGTCTTCTCGATGGCCATCAGTGGGAACCTCTCCACCTTCCTCAGCAACCTGGGCCAGCCGCAGTACCAGTACAGGCCGCAGTTTCACCGAGGTGACAGAGAATTTGTCTTCATTACCTCCAGCAGCAGTCTTTTCTGTAACCCATGACTACCTCACCATCACCAGCCATCAGACTAACTACCACCCAGTTCATTCATGATTACCAGAGCAATAACAGAGCATTTTATACAGTTCTATCTACTCATTTAACAAATGTTTTTTTTTGCTTTATGAGAAAGAAATCATTTGTTGCAGTTCTCATGCATTAAGCGAAGCCCTCTTCTTTCGGAGGATAGCGATTGGACTGTGTTGCAGGTGCAGGATTCTGGGTAAACTGGATAAATGTGTTTAAGTTTAAACCACGGCCGTGCTGATCGTGTCCCTCTGTACCTCAGTGACCATAGCGGCTGTGGCTGTGTTTGTCTATGCCTGGCTGGTGCCCCTGTGCGTGTGGGGCTTCCTGACGTGGCGTAAGGGGACCGAACCGCAGATCAGCAGTTACTCATTCCTGGAAACAGTCTGCGTCTATGGATATTCGCTGTTCATCTATGTTCCCACTTCGGTGAGTTCTGGGTCTTTGCTCTCGTGGACAGTGGAGTTCCGTTCCTCCTTAACACAGTGACCTCTTCTCCTGCCTCCACCCCTCAGGTGTTGTGGATGATTCCCTTGAACTGGCTTCAGTGGCTGTTGATCGTGGTTGCCACGGCGATCTCCGGCTCCTTGCTGGTCATCACATTCTGGCCCATAGTCCGTGACGACACGAAGCTGACCGCCTTTGCTACCGTGACAGCCATAGTCTTGCTCCACGGCCTGCTCGCCGTTGGCTGTAAGGTGAGCTTTTCCTCACACAACCTGCTTTCATCTTGAAGCTCGTTATACATTTATTTATTTAGCAGATGCATTTGTCCAAACAATATAAGTAAGGATCAGAGAGCAGCATCGTATTTAAGGAATTTACTTGAGAGTCCAATAGTGGCAATGTCTTGCCGGCCATGGGATTCGAACCAACAAGCTTCTGGTCATGGACAGTCCTAAACCGCCGTGCTGTGCCGCACCCAACCCTGTTTAATTTGTTGAGGTTTGTGTGGGATTGCAAGCGCTCGCCTACCACAGATAGACCTGACAGTATTTATTTTCTGTGCAAAAATATCTCCGTATATATAGTTGAGCCTAATCACTATTGTCTGTCTTGCAGATCTATTTCTTCCAAACGGTGGCAGCACCAGCGCCGAGCTCACCTACGGTCCCCCCGCTTACCCAGAACCACATGACACTGCTGACCAGCCTAACCAAGGGGCACTGACCATGCGGGGGAGAACAGGATGGGGGTTTATGCAGATGATTTTGACCTCCTGCTAATTCCATACATAAACTTGATAAATTGTTTCCACGTGGTTTCTTACACGGGTGGGGGATTGAAAATGACTTCCGAGATGCAGCATGCATCTCAGCTCAGTCTGCAGATGTTTCAAAAGCAGTTATCTGAACTAGTATCTCAAAAAAACAAGGAACGTTGCTGTGGTTTGGTGGTTGTCACAGGCTGATATGCAGAGAGCCCTGCGCAGCACAATGCTCTTCATGTGACAGGACTAGTGATACGGACAGCATGACCGACTTACAGGCTTCAAGGAACATCTTTCTAGCGTCGACTAATACTGTGATTGCAATTTTTGTAATACTTTGTGTCTATTTATTAAACATAGCTTGAGATTTCAAGAGTTCATCTTGTGCTGTAATTTCTTTCATCTGATCCCTTTATTGTGACTTACAGTAGCTACAATTCATGTGCGCTCCTTGCAACTTGAACATGTCATTTGTGTCATTAGCACAAGGCTTTACTTGTTGAGCTACATATTTTGCGTGTATTACCCATCACTAATAAAGCAGAGGACAGGCAAGCTGAAATTCTGTAACAGGAAACAAGACGAAGAGGAATGAGGTTTAAAAACTATTTCCAAGCGCCATTATTGTGCTGTCAGTCACCTAACCAGTTTAATCCAGTTCCCATTAAGTAGTCAGTGACAGGTAAGACTGGCAGTTAGTGACAGCTCATAGGTGCCACCCATCACGGCCTAATTATTAAGGCTTATAAACAGGAGCCCACTCACCATCACAGAGGACTGTCACGTCCCACAGGGACACAATCTCAAACACTCAGGGTTTGCCATTCCTGCCACCCCTCCCACAAGATGTTTAAAAGCTAAATAAAGAGCTTGTGAGTAGAGGCGGAGGATCGTAGCCAGCTAGCTGGTTAGCAGAACAGTGCTTCAGAAACTGCTAAAGGAATGTGGCTATTTACTTTAGTGTAGTGGGTGTTTGTAGTCAACAGTGCACCAAAACACAAGGACCCCACACGCACACACTTGTGGGAGGGGCAGCTGTGGTGAGACACACTTGTGGTTGGAGTGGCAGTTCTGCTGTGGATACCTGCCCACAGGAAAGGAGGTCAGGGCTCAGACAGACAGCAGGGCTCTTCTTCCCCATTTCATTTGCTCCTTTTTTTTTTTTTTAAATTCATTTATTTTTATTTTTTTTGTGAAAAAAAACTACAAACTAGCAGACATGTTCTTTCGGCAAGATGAAATCAAGATAAATGTGTCTGACCGGAAGCAACATACAGATTTCGTTTCAAGTCTTTGTCTGTTCACTCTGGGCAACACTGATTTCCCAAGGGGGGGGGGGGGGTCGGGTCACTGAGGAAGGGGACAGAGGGGGTTAAGATGCAAGGGAACATACACCCCCCAGTCCACACACCACTATCCGTCCAAAACATTGTGGCACAAACGTTGGGGCCCAGGTTCATGGTGCCACACCAAATGATTCACGTGACTGCAGTTCTGTCATCCGGGCCGCCAGCCAGCTCCTGCGGCCCAAATCATCCAGCTCCCCTCCCCCACCACCGACGCAATGTTACGTAGTCTGAAGCTGACCTTTACTGTGACCTTCAGTCTGTTCCGTTGACTGCAAGCGCGACGTAGCGATTTAGCATTTAGCGTACAGGCCAGCTGGCTAGCCGAGGATCCACCCAGATGTCCGTGTCCCTGGGAATTCCCGCATGGGGAAGGACGGGGGCGTCCTCTTTGCTCAGCGATGGCGCGGCGGGGATTCAGAGGTCAGCGTACACAGAGCGGGGCACAGAGGACGTGGAAGACCGGAGTGGCAAGCTGATTCTACATGTGTGTATGTGAAGCTGTAAAAATATACTGTTTGTAGGCTGTGCGACTAACGGTGTGTGAACGGACCGTGGGGGACCCTGCTCTGCTGCTTTGGAGGTTATAAATCACAGACAGACATGTGGACGGATTGGGGGGGAAACGCAGGGGGGGCAGTTGGTTTTCTGTATTGCTCAGGCAGCAGTCATTTGGGGTGGGGGGTGACCTGTGCCGTAAAGGCCGGAAATCTTAGCTGCCGTAGTGCATGGTGTTGCTAGGAATCAGCATGGGGGATGCCATGGAGATAGCGGGGCCGCCCATGGTGAACTGGCTGTTAATGGGGTAGTAGGGGCTGCTGCTGCTGCTGGGCCCGATCTGTCCTGTAGATGTCCCTGTGGATACAGGAACAGAGAGAGCTGCATGTGATGCCATACTCACCAGGCCTCAAGACCCCGGGGAAAACACCGGCAAACTGGTGGCCGAGGACAGCCCAGCGTCGGGAGTGCGCCACCTACAGGAAGGAATGCTCACCCTGGACGACGCCCGTGCTCATGATGGAGCCTGTCCTGGAGTGAGTATGGTTCACTACGCCCGTGTTCACTGCACGAGAGGACAGGGCAGGGAGGGGCGTCAGTGTATTCAGACACGCACGATACTACATCATGATACAATGACACATTCACACCTCCGTTAATACGTGGAGAGCTAACTGCTGTTAAGCTGCATTAAAAGAAGCCTGCTCTTCTCTAGTACGGCCTGCAGGTGGCGCTTCCATACGTACCAAGGGGGATGAGGTTGTTGTGGGACACGGAGGGGCTGCTCCCAATTACTGTGCTGAGGTCATAGGCCGTGGGCATCCCTGAGTTTGGGGAGGGGGGGCAGGAAAGCCAGTGACTCAACCTTGGATTGTTAATTAGCTGACAAGTTCAGACATAACGGTGGGAGATGCAACGGTAAGGTATGTGACAAAATTATGGATGGATGACTTAAATGTTGCAGCAGATTCATGGCTACTAGCGACAGAGAATCTGATCTGTATCACAAAGCTTGCAACCTTTTCACAATGATGGTGCTCACCATGCTTTGCACGAGATTTGCTGCGTGAGTACACACGTGTTCCCCACATACCTGATGATGCAATTCCTTGGCCCATATTATAAGCAGTACCAGAGTTCCACATTGACTCAGAAGGAGAGGTGTAGTGTGACCCGGGGGGAGGGGTGGGCGTACTGCCTGTGTACCTGATGAACACACGGAAGATGGAAGGTGGTGTTTACCTGGAAGGCAAAGCTGCGAGGCAGCAGTGTGATAGAGCGGAGACTCACCTAAAAAATGGGTTCTTCAGATCCAGGAGGTTGCTGGACTTGGAGCCTGTCTGGTCTACTTGTGCTACGATGCTAATGTCATAGCTCTGCCTGTGAGGACAGGGAGGGGGTTTGGCACAGGCTACAATCACAGCCACGGAGGCGACCTCTGTATTAGAGCGTTACCTCTTGTTAGCGATCAGCAGAGCCGTCCCTGACATGGTATCCCCAGCTTTGGCGAAAAGGGGAGACTGAAGCAGGCAGCGCACCTGGTACCAGTGGGTGAGCGGCTCCGTGGGGGCCGTGGACAGCCAGACGGTCATACTGGGGTGAGGATCAGAGGAGTCGGAATGAGATGTTAAATGTTTTGCTAAATGCTATGCTAAATGCTATGCTAAATGCTATGCAATTTACAGTTTAATCTTTTTACATGTTTAAGGACTTACACTGAGCCAATGAAAGCCACGTCGAACCAAAAGGCGAGTCCGTGCACTAGGCCAGAACTGACCATATGAAACTTGAACGGGATCTCTATCCTGGGGGGGGGGGGCACACAAAAGGAATAGCTGAGTGCTAGACCCGAAACCTTTATCAAATCAATAAACACACTGAAAATCACAAGTGTTTCTTCATTTACTACTGCAGAGTATCCTTATAAAGTGATGAAGTCGAGACCCAAGCCTCCTGATACAGACCTGTACAGGTCATCCTCCTTGGCCTCCAGGAAATTGACGGTGTACTTTACAGACTTGGCCATAAGGATCCGAATGTCAAAGGTGTCCTGGGGGGGGG